CCCCCCCCCCCCCCCCCCCTTTTTTTTTTTTTTTTTTTTTTTATAATTCAAGATGAGGAATTCAAACATTATTAGGCAATAAAGTTGCTGTGAGATGTATTGTTAATTTTATATTTGGCTAGAGGATTTTTTTTTTCTTTTTTCAATTAAGGATTATTTGCTGGCTATTGAGTGCCTACCAAAAGTAAGTGATAGTGGTTGCATATTGTTTAAATCTTAAGTAGGAAGAAAGAAAACGAAAAGGCCTTCCTATTTATTCTAAATTGATTGTGGACCAGTTCATTTGATTATTACCTTAACATGGTTTGAATATATGATAATCAATCTATGCGACACTGAATTTCAATTTTAAATCCGGTTTGGAGAAGGAGAGGAAATCAAAGGACAAGGAACAAGAAAACTAAGGGGATTAAAAAATATTAAGATTCTACTTTTCTTATGCGTTTCTAGAAAATTCGTTTACTTTCTTACCTTCCTATTATAGGTTAAGGGTTCTTGGCCTTCTGAGTATATGCATATTGTGAAACAAAAATGTTATTATTTGCTAGGCTGACAATGCTTGCCTAAACTACTCAGGCCTATTATAAATGGTTATTTCTCATACTCTCCCAGTTTCATTTTTGAGGATGGATGAGAGCCTAGAGATTAGCTCAAATGGTCAAACTTTGGGAAATACATAGCTGATCTGGGTTCTACCAATCCCTAATCAACAATAACAGCTTATTAATATTTGATGAATTCAGAATATGAGTCTCCAGTCTTGGCCATCTTTATTTCCATTTTCTATTTTTGCTTCTTAATTTTCTATTTCTTTTTCTTTTTGCCCCATTTCTCTCCTTTCTTTGAGCGATTTAAACTCGATAATGTACTGTAACCCTGTATGCAGTGTGATTATAACAATACATGCAATGAAACTGCATGTCAGAGAACTTTCAAAAGTTATGTGCTGCATCACTAACATCTCTTGTGATGTTGTAGGTTGAAGCTGAAGAACAACCAGAAATTTCTGAGGCATATTCTGTCTCTGCTGTGCCTTATTTCATGTTGTTTAAGGTACTACACTACATATATAGAGATGTTATAATCATTTGCCTTGTCTTCTGAAAGAATTCTCCAGTTATATAAGATAGTTATAGACTTGTTTTCATCCTCTCTAACTATTAGTCTATTACAAGAGTAATGGAATATGTAGGTAAATACCTGTCTTTCTGCTAAACACATTGTATTGATCTCATAATTTGCAGATACTTTTTTATGAATGTCGACCAAATATCGTAAGTTGCTTCTAGTTATTCAATCATTTGACAATCAGAATGCTTCTAGTTATTCAATCATTTGACAATCAGATTCATTCTTGGATATATGATCACCTTGATATCCATCTCAAGCACTGCCGTTCTCCATGATTGAACAAAATTTTAGTGACTATTGAATTTCCTTGAGATATTTGCTGAGAAATGCAACCTTGAAGTCCTTAAAAGGTGCCAATCAGCATGCCACAGTATTGAATCTGTACACTAATAAATTTCAGGGATTTATCTTTAAGCTGCATTATCTTTTGATTCTTTTCCTAAAGACCAAGATCAAACACAAGGTAAACGTTGTGATTCTTGAGTAAAATGTTATGCACTCATTCAATTGATACCATATCTTTGCTACAAATTGCCCAAAAGGCTTCATCGATGCAACTTGATTCATTCCTTCAGACACCCTCAATCCTGATTCCCCTTCATTAAAAGGTTTGCATATGTTAGATGACTGCAGTTTAGCACCAGTATCTTCAGTTGGTATCATTCCTATTATTACTTCGGATTAAATGGGTGCATAGCATTGTTTTACACTATCTGTTGCCTCTTTTTATGTGCAGGTGTAGTTTCTATTTTTTTTCCCTTCTCTCCCCTTTGAGTGGTTGCGGTTGCCATATATCTCTTTTTTATTTCATGGTTGGTAACTTAAGTATGCTGCTAGGTAGCATCCCTTTGAGCCTCAACTGGATTCTCTTGAGTTAATTATCTTTGAGCTCGGTTGTGGCACATACATACAAATATATTTACGTACATTCATACATTTGTATATCTTCTCTCTATAACCTATGATAGAGGGATATAGATAAATAGATTTCTGTTGTTCATCTATTTTGTAACTTTGATTCTATTAGGATGGCAAGGCAGTTGATACATTGGAAGGTGCTGACCCATCTAGTTTGGCCAACAAGGTTGCCAAAGTTGCTGGGTCAATCAGTCGAGCTGAACCCGCTGCTCCTGCTAGCCTCGGGATGGCCGCAGGTCCTACTATTCTTGAAACAGTTAAGGAGTTTGCTAAAGAAAATGGTTCTCCTCAGGAACGGACCCTATCACCTTCAGCTGTAGGTGACGGACTCAAAAAGAGACTTGAGCAGCTCGTTAATTCTCATGGTATCATGCTTTTCATGAAAGGAAGCCCTGAGTCTCCCAAATGTGGTTTCAGTCAAAAAGTAGTTGACTTATTGAAGAAAGAGAAGGTTAAATTTGGAAGTTTTGATATATTGACGGACAATGAGGTTCGTGAAGGATTGAAGAAATTTTCCAACCGGCCAACGTTTCCTCAACTATACTGTAAGGGTGAACTGCTTGGTGGCTGTGACATTGCAATTGCTATGCACGAAAGTGGGGAGCTAAGAGATGTTTTCAAAGGTCACGGAATTGAAATATCCAATCCCAGTGAGATAAAAGCCACCAGTCCTGATGGTGGACGGGGAGGCATTACGGGTCCTTCAGGCTTGACTGCAGCTCTGACTTCTCGACTGCAAGGTCTGATAAATTCTAGTGAAGTCATGCTGTTTATGAAAGGAAAACCCGACGAACCTCGATGTGGTTTTAGCCGCAAGGTTGTCGACATTCTTAGACAGGAGAAAGTCAAGTTTGGGAGTTTTGACATTCTTAGTGACGATGAGGTTCGTCAAGGCCTCAAAGTTTATTCAAACTGGTCGAGTTATCCTCAGCTATACATAAAGGGTGAACTCATTGGAGGATCAGACATCGTGTTGGAAATGCAAAAGAGTGGAGAACTTAAGAAGGTTCTATCCGATAAAGGGATCCTGTTAGGTGAAACCCTAGAAGATCGCGTTAAACAGTTGGTAAATTTATCAGCCGTAATGCTTTTCATGAAGGGTACACCGGATGCTTCGAGATGTGGTTTCAGCTCCAAAGTAGTAAATGCCCTGAAGGAGGAGGGAGTCGAGTTTGGTTCTTTCGATATTCTAACCGACGAGGTAGTAAGGCAAGGATTAAAGAAGTACTCAAACTGGCCAACCTTTCCACAGTTATATTACAAAGGAGAGTTGGTAGGAGGTTGTGATATTGTGATGGAACTGCACAACAATGGTGAGCTCAAGGTTACCTTATCTGAGTAGAGATACACATCCGAATGGAATGGATTTTGGCTTCATTAATGCTTCGCTTATCATTCCGTTCGCCGGCCCTTGTCTTTGCAATAGCTTATTAAAATTCTCAAGACAGCCTGTTTGATTTCTTTATGAACAATTTATTTTTCCCCCTTTCTTTCCTCTATATATTTTTGTGACATGTTGCAAAGTGTTTCTACAGTTGGTAACTGTAATGGTCACTGATATTAGTTATGGCGATTCTCTTGGGCTGATGAACTATTTATACCTTTGTTCAATGCCTCAGTGAATTTGAAACAGTTTTTGGAGAGCAAGTGGCCAAGATTGCGCCCGGAGTTATATTTTGGATAGATCGAGTATACTTTTTTGGTTAAAAACAGGTTTTCCTTAAATATCTTTAGGGATGGCAAAAAGACTCGAGGGTTCGGGCCGCTCGGCTCGAGGCTCGAGTAAACCGAGCCTAGGCTGGGGCCGAGCCCCATCTTGGAGTGTCAGGCCGAGCCCGAGCCGGCCTGTTTGGCTCACGAGCCGACTCGCAAACCTTTACAAAGGCAACTAGCTGCCTCAAATAAAGGCCGCTATCAACTGCTTTTTAAGGGAAGGAAAAAAAAAAGGGGGAAAAAAAGAGCCGGTCCGGCCCGTTTTGGCTCAATAAGGCCCGAGCTTTGATTTTTTGGCCGAGCTTTTGCTCAGCTCGGCTCGGGCCAAAAAAAACCCGTCCTCAAGAAGCTCGAGCCAAGCCCGAGCCTTGATTTTTGGCTCGGCTAGTTGCCATCCCTAATCTTCAAGGAGCATGATAAATGTGTTTTTGTGGGGCCCACCATCGTCTTTCTGCAGACGGTTGGCCAAGCCTGCCTCGCTGAAAAATATGGGCCATTTTGGGCAGCTCATATGTAGCTGGCCCAGCACATTTTTATTTCCTATCAACTAATTTTAACACAAATTACTTTGAATATGCGGAGTTAATTGTTTCAATAGTCACTAAACTTATGTCAATGTCTTTGATCGGTTACTGAAATTTAAAATGTCGAGTTTTGGCTATTGAACTTTGAAAAATATTGTATATTACTTACTGGATTTTGAAAAATGTTGTACGTTACTCACTGTAAACTATATATTTTTTACAGTTCAACGATTATGTTAATGAGTAATGTACTGCATTTTTCAAAATTCAGTGGTTAAAACTTGATATTTTAAACTTAAGTAAGCAATCTAAAAAATAGACTTAAGTTCAGTAAGCAATCGAAGACATTAAGGTAAGTTCAGTGATTAAAACTCGACATTTTAAATTTCGATGACCAATTAAATAAATGAATAGAAATTTAATGACTATTGGAACAATTAACTCGAATATGCGTGCATGAGCATGAATAAAGCTTCCACGACTCAAACTGGAAGTTCAATTAGTCAGTCAATTTGAATAACTGAACCACAGCATCATACATATCCCTTTCCTTTTGACTTGTCAAAATTTTAGATTGTATTGTTTGGAGTAAACTTGAATCGGTCACTCGGGCACTTGTCAGCCCAACGTGTCAAGGCCCCACGAAGCTTGGTAGCAGCCACCTGTCAAACTCATTGAAATTTTACTTTTCGTTTCCTTATCTCAAAAATAATTTTTGACTTTTTGAAAATCGTGTCAAAAGGTTCCTTAGTAGTGCCACCGAATCAAGTGTCGACTGCCTTAGTCTACAGAAGCCCATCGACTAATCGAATTGAGATTTAAGTAGATTAAATCCATGTTTGATTTTCATTTTTTAAAATTCATTTTTTCTATAAACTCATTTTTTACCACAAGATCTTAGAATAAAATAATTTTGCACGTGCACTCGTCACATTTCTCACTTTTTAATCACAATTGTTTTCAAAAAAAAAATATTTCATAAAATTTATTCTAAAAATATCCCTACCAATCAAAAGTCAAACTAGTCAAGAGAATTTGTGCACTGACATCATCTTTTGACAGATTTGGTTTAATGCCCAGCTTCCAAAAGCTAAGAACAGAATTAAACAATGAAACAAATATTGAACACAGATAGCCAACGTGGAAAATGAGGCACAACAATTGACTAGACTTTTACAGGTTAAATATTGTTTCGGTATGAATTTCGATCGAAGTAGTGTTGAGCAAAAGATGAAGAAAATGTCTATGTTCAATTATTCAAAAAGCCGATAAATTACTTTCGAGTAGCTTAATGTTTACTCGTACAAGATTTTTTCCGTTTCTCATAACTTACTTAGTAAGGTAGATTGTATAATACTATTTGTTGGTATCGTAATTGAACACGTTACCGATAGTGCAATTCAAAATCTAACAAAGCCTCCTAACTTTATTTTGGTAGCATTCCCATAATTTCATTTCAATTGTCTTGAAATGAGCTATTTGCATTTGCAGCTCCGTTTTCTCCCTTCTTAGGTTCTTATTCTCCTCCATCAGCATCATTAATGCTCGAGTATTTTCTTCTTCCATGGCTCTACATTTGTGTTCCTCAGATGCTTTTAGGTATGCTGGAAATGCACTCGACTCGCATTTTTTTCTCGTGATTTCCGCGAGCAGATGTCTGTACCCTCTCTGGAACTTCACGTGCTGAAATTCCCATCGTTTTGAAGCCGTTTTCTTGAATCCCTATTTCAGACATTCTGTTAGAACATTAAACTAACGAATTTTAATTCAGTAACAATTCCTGCGAAGACTTGGTCTTTGATTTATGATGTAATTAGTTAATGAATTCAAGAACTAAGCCTTCTTGCCTTTCTTAGTCATATATTAATGGGCAATTAAGTCAGACTCATCTAGTTTCCAAGGCTGCAGCTACATAATTTTGACTCTTATGATTTGTTGAATTTCAGTTTTTATTTCCATTAAATGCTTTGAATTTGATGAGTTCATGATAAAATTTGGTCTCTGGTAAAAGTATTCATCATGATGTCGTCCATCGTAATAACAAAAATTAAAATTAAAATTAACAATAAATAAATAAATAAATAAAAAGAGGAAAATCTTGGATTACAATAGAATTCGAAGTGATTTGAATTATTCGAGGAGCAAAGTCTATTAAATTTATGAAGAACGAGACGTAGATGTACTTATATGAAATGTTTCATCGGATTCAACCCATTGTCTTGATCGTACAAGAAATATGTGTGCTAGAAAGGGTAACTAGGGGTTCGATCCAAGTTTACTCAACAAATTTTAGCTTCTGTTTTCTTTCATGATTTAGTAACGTGCTCGTTAATTTCCCCTAACAGAATCGAGTACAATACCCGTAACAACAATTTCTTTATTTTCAACAAAATTCTCAAAAAA